GATCCCTCTTGGGATTCCGATCTCATATACAATTCAATATTTATCTTATTTTAAAAGGCAGTTATAGTACTGCCTGTCACTCTAAACGTGTAAATGTGAACAGCAGTGGATGAATACATACATTCATGGAAACTTAGATTTTGTTGTTGCTACTTTTCTGTTTTTTAAGTTTTTTTCTTTTTTCTAAAGCCCTTGGACGGGAGTAATTGTTGTGTGTCAAGAGGACATGTAGGTTGGATTGTACGATACTGAAATGTATTTTCCATCAGCATAAAATGGAGTAACTCATGAGAGTGATTTTTACTAATGATTGTTTCCTTGCAGGCTGGATCTGTTCTCTTTCTCATAAGGCACGTAGAAATTACTAAGTTGCAACAACAAATACATTTTGATGGAACAAACGAATGAGAATGGGTTGGAAGGAAACATAATACAGAACGGATTATGGTTTGTAATACCACCCATTTTGTTAACGTATCCGGCAAATCACAAAACTGTTGATACTGAACATATCAGTAAAATGTTCAACATAGTATTTAATTTGTTTTCTTCCAAAATATGCCACCTTGCCATTCAATATCCACTTGTACAGACTACAGCATTATTGACCTTTTTATGGTTCGGTTTATGCACTCACAGGACTTGGTTAAAGCTACAATATGTAATATTTCCACATAAAAATGTCTAAAAACCCTAGACCTACTGTATGTTATATATTTGTGTGTACTTGCATTATTCCAAATGTTTACAACAATGTTGAAAGCCAGAGCGATATGTTGTTTTATTCAGGAAATGTTACGTTTTACCGGTCGCCTGTGGTGTCATATCCCCCTCGCGCATGTGTCAGTGGTTGTCTGCTAGAGGCTGCAAAATCAATTGAAATATTATCAAAATCACAATATAGCCCAATTCAAACCCAAAATCACAGAAGCTGTAATTTTTTGAGAATTTCTTTTCACAATATCTGTCAAAATAATCGCAAATGTTTTTACCATATCGTACAGTTCTACTTTTCATCCAGTTTAAAGTCTACGATACACTCAATATTTTAACCGGATGAATGATTTTAGTCATCGGATGTCTGGATCTTAAGTTGTCGGAGAAACATGCTGAGAAAATGTTAACAGCAGCTCAGCTCGCAGCCCCTCCGGGAGGTCCTTTGTTGACGAGACATAGATTTTTAATGTGATACTGCTTTATTCAGCGTTTTTACCAGTTTTAATCACCCTGTCCATTAGTTTTGTACGTTTTTAGGTTTTGGAAAGATCGCAATGTTTTTTTGATGGAAAAAAGTCTTAAATGACCTAAATCTTGAGATTGAAAATGTGAAACATTTAACATAAACCACAATTTCCCTGCAGGTTTTTAGGTGGAAGAAGAGCGTAATCAGACTTTATTTTGAACATACTCTGCATTTGAGTTTGCGTTTTAAAATATACAGATGAATCAATATTCAGACTAAACCATAGAAGTCTCCATGATTTCTCCTTCACTCTCACTCACTAATTCATTGGCATACCCTATTTCATTTCATCTTTTCACTGCAGCTTCCACATTTGACGTGACTCTGCTGACAAGATATGCTCAGGCAGATGGATTCACAGGGTGTGGGATGTGAAAGGGATGTGAGAGAGACGGGGGGGAACCAGGGAGTTTAAGCAGATTTTGAAGTGTCAGTTTCTCTGATTCACTGCATCCGTCTTCCGTGGACTTTGATGTTTTCCTGAAAAAAAAACTTGATTTCAGGGTTTTTCAACAGGATTAGCTTGTGCTTTTTCAACTGTCTTTTACCCTGAGCGAGACACAGAGATAGGCATAGAGAGAAAGAGAGAAAGAGAAAGAAGTTAAATTGAGCTGATTTGAATTTTATCCACAGTAGAAGCTGACAGAGTGGACAGTTATTGCTCTGGTTGCAGTCTCCCCCCCCCCCACACACACACACACACACACACTGATTATTTACTGCTGTCGCTCAATTCTGCTGACACGGCATGTTCCACCTAATGGAACATCCCCTCTGCTTATACAGTGCATCTCTCCCCCTTTGTCTCTCTCTCCCCTTCTCTGTCTCTCACTCCTACTCTACATTTTACAGCCTTAACAGAATTCTAGATATGTAAATATTATATATGTATATTGTTTCACACAGGTTGAGACTTGACTTGTGGTGGTGGGTGGTGTGGCAGGTGACAAGAGACCTAAAATTTCTATCCCAGTATTTTTGTTTTTTTATGGTGACGGTATTGTATCATTACAAGAATAAAAGTGCTACTCCACTCAAAACATGATTCTACCGCTTTGCACTCTATTGAAAATGTAAGGGGACTTCTTTTAAGACAGAATATATATATATTTTTTTAAAAGATGTGTTTAGTAGTATACAGCTCATTCAAAATACTGCAGCCAGCATACTCATTGGGATAAGAAAAAACTAAACAAATTACTCCTTAGATTACTTCACTGGCTTCTGAGAAAATACAGAATTGGTTTCAAAATATTGCTTATTGATTAAAAAATCACTTAATCTATTGTCTAGCTCCTAAATACATCTCGGACCTGCTCACTGCTTACAAAGCCTCCAGAACCCTCAGATCATCAGACACTGGTCTCCCCATGATCAGAAGTAAACCTGGTGAAGGTGCATTCAGTCATTATGGGCCCACAAAACACTGCCTGATGATATCAGATGTGCCACAACTGTGCTGTCTTTTAAAAGCAAGCTTAAGACCTACCTGTTCTTTCAAGCCTATGGTTAGGTAGTGCCTCCATCTCTCTGTCCGTCTACCTGTCTATCTGTCTCTGTCTCTAACTCTCTTTCCCATGTGTGGGTGGATGGGGATAAATAACTATCAAGTATTCATATTTAATTTAATCTTTTTCATATGTGCTGTGTGTGAAGCACATTGAGCATACATTGCATGTGTTATATAAATAAACTTCCCTGTTGGATCCAAATAGGAAAGAAAATGTAGTATAGGCCTTCTGTTTTGAGAGGTGTATTCTGCCCCATAATGTAGGTTGATTAGTAAGTGTAATACACTGTGTGATACAAGCACTTTTGTTATAAAACTTTCTGCTACAACAAGATTAATTCAGCTTGTTACCCTGAACCTGTGGCCATTACAGGGTTAATTTGCCTCTGCTGGTGAGCTGAACAGGGATTAAACGTCACACACACCTACACACACAATCCTGGGATACAAACCCTTGCTCAGATGTGTGTCTTCTTTGTGTTTCATATCTGTATTACATTTTCTTTTCTTTTTTTATCTATCTTGTGAGGATGTGTAGGAGGAAGGGTTTGAAGCTCTTATAGTGTGTGTGTGTGTGTGTGTGTGTGTGTGTGTGTGTGTGTGTGTGTGTGTGTGTGTGTGTGTGTGTGTGTGTGTGAGAGAGCTCCATAGAACTTGCTGTATGGCCATATGACTGTGTTGGTTGCTCAGAAATAAGGATTTACTGTCTTTGACCTTTCTGATTGAATGTTTGAAGCCTGGAGTTGGACTTTCCAAAGCTTTTGGTTTTAAGTTATAACGGATGCTGCAAATATAAATGCAAGGGTGAATTAAATGCTTTTGCTGTCACTCGGTGCTACGTTAATTGAAATCTGGTCACTGTGGGGCAGAGAAACATCAGCTGCTGTTGGAAATTGGGTTGATGAGAGCAGAGCTGTGGGCCTTAAAATCAAAACAAATAACATTATAATAGTGCATCAAGCTGAATTGCATATAACAATAATTACATATAATTATGTATGGTAGTACACACACGGTCATTTGGTTTTTATTATAACTAAAATATTGATTAGTTTAGCTTTAACAGTCTCATTAAAGCACAGTGGTTATGTTTGTGTTTATTAGCATAATCTCTTTCTCTCCCAGCTTCATTAGCAAACTCAGATACTTGGATACCTCCTTGCTTCATATACTAATTGAAAACTTTGGTGGCTAAAATTAGCACGATTCTCCTATATACAGTGCTATTGCCCACATACAGAGCATGTGTGCTTTGGCATAAGAGATGTTGGCAGGAGGTTTTAAGGTCGGCTGGGTTGACAGGGTTAATGGACTGTACAGTTCCCTGCGCGTGGGCGTGTGCACAATTCCACACACATATATTGATTTTGAGTAGAAGCTTAGCATAAATAAGGAAAGACCGGCACCGGTTAAAGGAACTATTGCCATTATTTCATCAAGTTTATGGCTGAAATCTGGGAACAGGGTGGACAGGACATGAGCGGTCAGACGATCAGGGAGGTGCCAAACAAACACCTAGGTTACCAACACTGGGGGAAATTATTATGATCCGTTACATCCATCACACTTTACAGGCAGACTTCCTTGACCTACCACAATTACAATTGTTGTGACCATTACATTTTCTGTTTTGTTGTATTTTGTGTAGACTTATTTTCAGTTTTACCTTAAGATAAGTGGTGATAAAATAAAGACAAAAACAAAATATACGTTTGTATATAATTAAACAATGAAACTGTTGGCTTGTTTACAACCTGTCTGGTCTTGGGACTGATTGTGCTTTATGCCCTGTCTGTTGTCTTTTTTATCAATGTCACTTTGTTGCCAGACCTTAGCAATTACCTTGGCAGAGTGCAATGCTATCTTTAAAGAGATGATGGCCAAAAGTACAAAAAAAAGACCCACGTTGTACTAAACTGGCTTTTTCATTTAAGAGGATGAATTGAGAGAAATACAGAGAAGAAAATTAGGCTTATGATCAATGGGCCTCATGAATAATTGAGCACAACAGTGTTTTGCAGAGAGAGACAACGGAGAGAAAGAGAGAGGAGTGTCCTCTGATGTTTCTCCTGTTTGGGCTTGCTGTAGCGTTGGATGTTCTGCTAACACCAGCACTTTCATGCAGTGGCGTAGTAAATTTGATGCACACAGGACAGAGTAAACATCAGAGAGAGAGAAAGAGAGAGAGAGAGAGACACACAAAGGAGTGGATTATATAACACTACTCCTCTGTAGCAGATTCCGTTCCTGTGCTTCAAATAATTCCCCCTCTATCTCTCTCTCCTCCGGATGAGCGGCAGCAACAGCAAGGCTCTGAATCGGATGCCTCTCCCATCGACCCGGGCGAGCTGCACCCCTCCTCCCTCTCCTACGACTCTCTTCCTACTCGCTCCTCCCTCTCTCCCACCCTCCCTCCTTCACTTTCTAACCCTCTTGCTCCTTCTCCTCCTCCTCTCCTCTCAGCTGTGGATGCCCTCCTCACTTACAGTATGGACTCGGGAGGGGAAGGAGAAGAGGGTTGGATGGAGGACCAGTGGGAGAAATGGTAGGGCATCTCTCTCGTTCTTCTCTTTTTCTTACTGGCATGCAGCAACATGGCTGTGTGTGACCTTGTGAGCGCGCAACTGCTAACATGCCTGTTTCTTGCTATATGTCGTCTCCATGCATCTTAAAGCTCAGGGCAGGCATGCCCTTGAAGGAGAGCGGATGCATATGGCCGTGTGTATGTCTGTGTCTAAAGAAGAGACGTAGAGCGTGCAGCAGAGGTTGCTGGTTTATGTTGACCATAAATAGGACCAGAAAAGCCACAGAGGAGAACACAAATCACACTTTATGTTGATGTGTGTGTATTATGGCAGCAGTGCCGATGTAGGAGAAGCGCTGGATGAATTTGTGTCTTTAGAGTTTGTTTTCATACAGTGGGTGATGGTGGGGGGTTGTTTTATCTGGTGAACCTGACAGGACGGTCCTGATCCTGGTCCTGGTCTTGTCCTTGCAGGAGGACGAAGCTGATGAATGACATACAGCATGCAGCCTTGTAATCTCTCAGTGGGAGCATAAATGTGTGAATTATTGGGGAGAGATGGAGGAAAAAACACATAGGCAAAGGTATACGAATCTGCTGTGACGACTAAGTGCTGGGCTTAATGTGTATGTAGTGTGAGGGGACTGAATCCTAACTGCACAACACAGATGGTAGTCCTATGAGACTGTAACGTGGGAAGAGATGTGTGAGTGTAAAGTATCCATGACTGTATGAGTAAAATGACAAATAAACAAATATAATAAATATTTGGACAGATACAGTTTTTTACAATTTTATTTTGTTTTAAAAAAAAAAATTACCTGGGGGGATTTTGTTCCATAATTAGTAGCTCATTTGCATTTTCACCACATATTTGAAAATGCATTTTTCTGATTTGTCTATACCACAACATGACCTTTATCCACTGTAAATTGCAGAAAGTGTATTTTTGCAGCAGGGAATATAACAACTTGTGGGACAGTAGGGATATAAAATCCTGGTGGAAATCTGATTTACCCCTTTTGAAGTAAAATCTCATACATTTTCAGTGAAAATCAGTGAAAACAAAAAATGATTACCCTTATCTATATTTGACCTTGCGTGCAACTTGTGAACAAAAACTGCAGTCAGTATTTACAAGCAAGCTGTAGGTAAATACAGTGCTGTTTGCATCAGGGTCATAGCTGGATTCAGATAAAGACTAATGAGCTGGCCGGGCCCATCATGGCCTAAGCGCGAGGTCATGCTGTCCTTCATTAACAGAAGTAGAGAAGCAGGCCGGAGGAGGCACAAACACGCCAGCAGGCTGCCCTGTCACCCCCCACTGTCAGAATAATGCAGGAGTTTATCCCAAATCCTTAACGAAACAAACTGAAACATCCATCCTGCAGTGTTGTTGTCCTCCGATGTCATTTTACAATACAAACAATGGACATAGTGTCTGGGATTTCATGTTTTCTGAAGGGACATTTTGAAACCTGGACTTTATCCACACGCTGACATTTTGTCAATTACATAGCTCCAGAAAATCTGAATTTGTAGATTGTAGCTGAGAAATGACCACAGCTGAGTTTTAAAACCCAAGATATGTGTCCGTGAAAGAACAATCAGTACTCAAACTTACCCCTCTTAAGCTTTTAAACCGTCATTATATCAATAATTTTATACAGGGAACTGAGTGTAAGTCAGTCATAAACTTCAAAACACAGGTTGTCTACCTGAAGAGGAGTTTCCATAATCACAGGATCACAGAAGCAAATTAAAAATCAAACTTTCTGTTATTAATATTGTGCTAGTGGGTGAAAGATCATACATGCTAAGAATAGGATCAAATCACTGAATAGCACATAAAATATTAAAATTACCCCTGGAGAGGAACTTGAGGCTTAAGACACATTAAAGTAAAATCAACTAATGAGGCTCCGACATCTCTTGGGGAAAATCATTTATATTGTAAGAGATGTTTGGGGTCTTCTCAGATGACTTAGATTTCATGGAGTTGCTACAGGGTGTCTATTAGAGAAATCATTTGCGTCTGCAGTGGCTTTAGCATTAAGCTACGATTTTTACATGCAGACTTTTGCACACATGCATGCAAAGTCACTGAGTGAACTTGAAATCAATTCTAAAACTATAAGCTGTCGTTGTTGCTGGTTCATGTTGTCCTATTTACTTTATGTGTTTTAACACATGTAGAAATAGAAAAGAGACATTGTTAGTCTCCACAGCAATATTAAATGAGCAGATAGCATTAAGTATCTTAACTCCTGTACTCATAAACTGTTGCTTTGCACCAGGGTGATTTTTGGTTATTATACATTCGTAGCAAAGGAAGCATTTTTATGGTTATGCTTAGAGAACTCAAAACAAGTGTTTAAGTTTTGGAAAAGCGATTTAAAGCATGAGAAGGCATAAGTCAAGTGTCTTGATATTTAACCCTAACCATCTTTACCCAGCCATAACCAGTGTTAAGGTAACATATGGCATGTAGGATATAAACATCTCTCAGGTGTCAAACATTCACTCCACTTCCAATCTTCCAATGACTTTCGTGTTGTATAAGGATGTCACACATCTCTATTTTGGTAAAATAGCTAAAATGCAATTGAACATAATCGAGGCAGCAACTAAGTTCCCAGAACTGAACGGTGCACAGTAATAACATGAAGATGTATTTTGTAGGAGACAGTGCAGGTCCAACAGATTTCACAATTCATGGTATCTTTTCAGCAAGCCATAACCATAATATAACCTGCTCTCAACTTGTCTGGCAGAGGCAAAAACAATATCAGGGTGCTGATATAATAACTAGTTTGGTTCTTGTGAGGTAACAGTGTCACAGTGATGATGTTGGTGTCAGCCTGTTATTACTACGGTCCGAATGATTTGCAGCGTCTCACTTTCATTGACGATGAGACAGTAGTAGCTGTGTCACAGGGATATCTGCCCAGGACAGCCAGTCGGCTGAGTCAGCCTGCATTGATCACGGGGGTGTTGAATGAGGATGTTTAGGGTTCTGGATATTCTAGCTTATTAATGGGTCCATTTAGTGTACATTCAGGAAAGTTAGGTGGGATGTTTTTTCTTTGAACAATTATGTGTGTGCATATGGATGTGTACCCTCAGTTGCCTAAGGGTCAAGTGTATCATGTAACTGCAATGGACATTTGTTAGATGTCATCCTCCTCTTTTTTCTTCCACATTTCCTGTCCATATCTCTAATGTAATTTTACTGTTTGTAAAGCAAATGAGTTTAAGGAGGACACTCTTGCAATAGTAATTGCTCAAAATATATTTAGGGATTCTTCACAGTTAAAGGACAAGCATATAGGATTGGCATCTAGTGGTGAAGTTACAGATTGCAACCATTTGAATACAGCTCAGCCTTCCAAACTTGTAGTAGATACTACGATGGCTGGGAAACTCAAGTGAAGCCGTTTGTCTGTTCTGGGCTACAGACAAAAAAACAGCTCATTCTAAAAGATCTTTCTAAATGTTACACACTTACACCTTTAAGGGAATTCCAAACCTGTGGCTGTTTTTCCAGTGAATCTGAACCTTTTGGGGAATTGATACTGACAAGTGTTTCCATTCTTTTAACAAGGTTAGCCTAATAACAGTGACACCTCTCTGTATATAGAGTACAGTCCAACAGCACCAAAAACTACTTCCTCCAAAATGATTCTAAAGTTGTATTAATACCTCTTTTGAACATTATAACCTTAATAATGCTTATATTCATTGCAGGACTGTTAGAGTGCAATGCTAACTGAGTTAGATGTGAAAATATTCTGGCACTCGTTTTCAGCGTAATGTGTATGAAGTTACTGTGCAGCTGAACATCTTCCTTCAGAGGCAGACCACTAAATGAGCAAAACAAAATGACCGTTTCACTTAAATATTGACTAAAAAACCCACCTGCGATATACTCGTCCATTCTCCCAACCCTACATGGAACAGCCTAAAAATGTTAAAAACTTAGGTTAGGTCCACAGCTACAGTGCTCCCTGTTTGGCTGGATGCTCTTTAAACAGCATTGTGGGTGGGAGGCAGGTCAGGGATCATGTGCAGGCCAACAGGTGACTGCATGTAGGAGGGAGGGATCTGCAGGATGAAAAGAAAAGCTTTGTTCACAATGTGTCAGATTCTTACAAATTAAGTTTGTGATGCATCTTTTGCTCTGTTAAAATACAAGAAACATACATTTAGACAGGTGTTTGCTAACAGTCATCATCTTTATCATCACATTGCTTATTCTATAGAACAGGAATGACATTTCTCCACTATTGTGGGAACTAAAATTGTGAAATACTATTATGAACCTGAGAGACCAGACTCACAGAAGAACCCTGTGACTATTTATGTGAATTGAGTAAAAAATTAAAAACAAATTTGTGTCTTCACACCGCAGCTGTGACGCGACTGTGCATCCAGTTTGATGTGAGCGTGCTCGACATTGCACGCCCTGCATGCTACCCTGTAATGTCTGGGCCTTGATGTGTGACAACATAATTTACTCTGTATTATACACTCTGTTGGTTTTCTTTGGTGTCTGCTACCTTCCTTACCCACAATTCACTGCTGCAAAGGGGTCACCCTGTCCTGTTCAGGTGGTTTATCTCCCGGCACTTCATTTTCTCCGCCCTCCCTCCATTCATTTTTGTCCCCATGACTCTCTCCATCCTCTCACTGTCCGCTGCTTCTATTTGCACTTTCCTCAGGTCTTGATCTACAGTCACGACATAATTTCCTCTCACCTCTTGTTCGCCGCTCCTCTTTTTGTCCTTGTAAAGCCCTAATCATTGGTCAAAACCAGCAATTGAGGGTCAAAATAACGTGACACACTTATGGCTGATTGGCTCCGATTGGCATCATATTTGTAGTTTTTTCTTCCCTATTCTTTCATTTCATTTCTTCTACTCTCCTCTCCTCCACCTCACTCCTCCTTCCTGGAAGTTATGCTGATAACGGAGGGACACTTGGAAGCATATTGATTTTGTTCCTTTCCCAGGGATCTGTCTGTATTGTAATAAATTACATTTGTAGTGAAATGATAAGATAACACTTTTTGTTATTCAAAAGCAAAACAGTGTCTCCAGACCAAAGTATGGCAAGGCAATTTGGTTGGGACAAAAGAAGTTCAGGTGGCACCTTAAAGCAACATTTGTAAGATTCTGTATTTTGAGCACCCAGTTTCAGAGTCATAAATATGGACAGCCGTACAAATGCATTTGTTATGATTACATTACTAATGATCAAAAACTAATGAGTCTACAACTTTTCTAACACAGCCAAACTTCAAGCAAGTGCAACAACACAACACAAAGCAAGCCAGCTAATATTACTTACTAGTCCAACAGGAAGAACGACTGCTTGCTGCAGTCTGCAGCCTTTTATTTCATGAACCAACAACTAAACTATGGCAGATTCTCTCTCCTTTTCTTTTCTTAACTTAGCATTACCTGTATCCATAGAAGGTGCTGAGATGGGTAACATTGCCACATCGCCTGGCATCGGATCTGGCATGACACCGCTCTCCATCTGTTAGGCATTTGTGGCTGTAAAAATCTCATATCTCAATGATTCTGACTCTGAATGCTTGTTAATTATATTTATATAGAGGTAAAACCACTTGTAATGTTATTGCAAAGTAATCTACAGTATCTAAACTACTCAAACATACATCAAGTGATATTTTGAATGTCCACACTGAGTCAAATATCACTAATGTCAAAAGATCTGAGAATTAACACCAACTCTGCAGCTCCACACAGCTTTAAGCTAAGCTTTGTAGCAAATTGTTTTGGTTCCCCAGATGGCCATGCACTGTACCCTGTTTGTAGCACCCCACTCCCAAGCCCATTCCACACACTGTATTTAAAAAATTTACTCATTTATCAAACACAAGCCAAACCACGTTACCCAGACAATAAAGTTGTTCTTTTTACTACAAGTATTGCTGCTTTCCTAGCTGTTTGCTAGTTTTGAGCCTAGTAAACATTACTCAAACATACTGTTTTCTAGAACAGCTGAGCCATTGTAGTTTTCATGAGTGATTATCAGTTTGTTAGGAACCATTTTCAGCTGTGTCCATGGTTCATGGAACTTGTAATCCAGTGCAAAAGTGTGGCTCATTGATGTGTTTTTAATATTTTTTTTGGGGGGGGTTGGTCAACATTGGCAACATGTGGCAAAGAGAATGAACCTGTATCAGACTTTGGCTGCACAGATAATACTTGTAAGTACGATCAGGTCATTGTTGGTTTTGGTCTTTATATGGGATTTGCTGACAATAAGAAAAATATATCCCTTTTAGGAAACTCTACAAAGCTTTATCATTAAAATAGTTACATTTTAATTCCAGTTGCAGGGGAAAATGCAAGTCAGCTGCTATATAACTTTGCATTTAGATGCCATTTTAGAAAATCAAACCTGAAACTTTATTGTCGCTGCAGTTTTGCCAGTTGGAGGATTGTTCAGTGAAGGTGGATGATTTCACTGGGTGATTTCATAAAGTGTCCTCCTCCCACTGCTTCTTTGTCTCAATCAGGTATATTCCCATCTGAGATCCTTTACTCCCTAACAATAGATTGCTTGATTCAATACTCTCTAGCTGTCTTCTTCCCTTTCTTTTTCTTACTCCCCTTCTATCCTACAGCCCTTCCTGCCTCCTTCAGGGCCTCATTATAGAGGTAAACAGATGCTTCTACCCGGGCTATTTAACTCCCATACCCATCCTCTAACACGTGACGGCTAAAGACGTCCGCAGCTGTGCGTGCTTTTGCAAGAAGAGGCAGCTGCGGTGTCGATGTACCCAGAAATGACATTAGCATCATGCAACAGGGGGATCATAGCTCTCAAAATTCACCAGGTCTTTCTGACAGCTTGCTGTTCTGCTCCTTGTGATCGCTGTCATCTTCTCTTTCCTCCCTCTAATAACATTTTCCTGCTGTCTGTTACGCCCAGGAGGCTGCTGGGTAAAGAGATAAAAGGCGGACATAATTACAGATGGGGAAAACTGAAGCATTGTTTACTGGAACCTAATTGAAACCTGCCACAGACAGCAGGACAGTTCATTTCCCTGGCTGACACTGTGATATCCAGGGTTGCTGCAAGCATAGCCAAGACCAAAATATAAATGTTTTTTTCCTTTAGATAGATAGATACTTTATTTATCCTGAGGGAAATTCAGCCAGCATCACACTGGGTTGTAGGTAGAAAACTGATGCAGATGCTGTAATGATAGGATTGTTCAGCTTTGACAAAGGCTTGCACACTGAGAGCCTTATTGTTACATGATTAGCGGTTGTTTTTGTCATCCTAAAAGTTGTTCCAACACGGTTGGTCAGTTGGTCAGAAATATCAACAACAATTGGCCTGATTGCCATTACATTTTATATATCATTAGATACTCCATGTCCAGAGATACTGAATTCTAAGGTATTAAGTCGTGGCCCATTTTCAAGCACCACTTTGATGTCAACTGTTCAACTTTTATACAACAAATAACCAAATTTACTGAGTACACTGATTCTCCTTAGAGGACGACGACTCTGATTTTGGATGCTATGAGGTTGTCCATCCATGTTAAATTTGTGCTTTAAATAGAATAACATAGCGGTGTGTATTTTCACCTTTAGTCTTTTTTTATCACAGGGTTTAACCAATTTTATTTGGACTTGTGGGTGTGGATGTCATTTCTCTGGTTGTGGTATTAACCTTGAAGGATCTTATGAGAAATCTATTGATATTAGCTGAGAGTCAATTTATTCAGCTTGACTAATCAAGGTAAACCAATTCATTGATCATGAAAATCTTAAAGTGCAGAATGATCGCCAAATGCAGAAGAGCAGAATAGGGAAGCATTTCAACTCAGAACATGTAATAAAGGCTATGTTTTCATTAATTGAAAACATATCAGTAATCTATTTTAAATGTTTTGACACAATGGAATCCAAGTAAAAAAAAAAGTAAGATTAAGATTCACTTCATAGGCTACTCGCGTGCACCGCGTGGAGTCCCCGCAAGATATCAGATTTCTATGTTGATTGCTATGAAGATTGCTGAATACATTGAAGCTCCTAATTAACCCATGACCTTTTCTTCTGGTCTTGCCTGTCAAAGCACTTTATAAACTCTGAGATCCTCTTAAATGTTACACACTGGACCTTTAACAAAATAATGCGGGGTATGACTACATTAAATATGGGTTGTAGTATATTTTTATAGTGCTTATTTTTCTTTGGAATGTGGAACTCACTTATGTTAGTTAGTTTTATGTTGACCAGTTATGACCAGAACTTGTGACCCATGTTCACATTTGTGTACGATGTCCTTGGGCTTGGATCTTGGCTTGGAGCTGCCACACTGACCCAGATCATTTGGTCAAAAAGAGATTTTGAGATGTACTTTGGCTACGGATGAGTGCTGAAGGATTAACATTGATTTTTATTTTTTTTTCTCCCTTCCCCTTTTCCTCTTTCTCACCCTAATCCTCCCCTTCAACCAGGTTGACCCATGACATCAGCCTGGATGAGTTTGAAGATGACGACCTGTCGGAGATTACAGAGATCACAGATGAGTGCGGGATGAGCCTCAACTGCAATGGCCCGGATATAAAGGTAAGCCGCCTCCGCAAAGAGCTGGTTCTCACCATTTCATTTCACGAAATAAGCTTTATATTCTTTCAAGGAAGTCTTCCACTTCTTAAGAAATTTCATGTAACTAATGACCTGGTTTATGACTGTGCTGCTCTCATTGATGATTAAAATTTACATAATACTATAATGTCAAATCCTCAGAGTCAAAAGAATTCCTGTCCATAAGACACATTTCTCATTCAAATAAGATTTATTTTTCTTTAAGGTCATTTTCACTTTTATGTTCATACAAGCACAATAGCTGTTATACTTTTCAGCTGCAAAAGGACACAGTCCACTGCAGTTTAAAAATAATGAGGTCCTCTTTTGACATTGACTTCTCAGGAAATGCTTTCAGTAATAGAAAAAACAAAGAGGAGCTACTGATTATGTCCCTCTAAATAACCAATGAGTGTTGCTATAGAAGGTACTTTTGAATACAATTTTGACTATTTTCATGTATAAAACTAAATAAAACAATACACAGACCAGTAATCTCCTTTCTTAATCGTCATGCAAAATTAATCAAGTTTTATGAGACTGCCTTGCAACCATTCAGCAACACTCAGCTCAGTGAGGGGTCGGACTCTCCTCAGTGTCATTTTGTCCAGAACAGCTGCTGCATTCAGCTTCCTGCCAGCAGAGGAAAGAGGCCAGAGGCAGAGAGGCCTGACAGACAGTGGCAGAGACGCTCTGCAAAAACTTTGAGCCTGATCACATATGATTGCCCCGCTGCTTCCTGGTTATCTAAATAATTCACTCTGAGCTGTTTACTGTTTGTTCAAGTCCTCTGAAACTTTCGCTTAAGTGGATACTTTTTTTTGTGGCCACCATGGGCCCAGTATTACCCTGGTTTTCTCAAGTTCTATTGGCATAGAAACGAGTGTATGTCATTAATGAAAACTGGAGCGAGTGTGAAGTGCTGCTACGAGAGTGAGAGAGAGGGAGAGAGATGTGGAGTGGTACAGAGGGGAAAAAATAAGCAGAGGTAGATTTATTATTCTGTCAGATCTCTCCGGCTGTTCCCAGTGAAACCATCATCACCTCCTCCTCCATTCAGCTCTGCTACAGTAACCAAGGCAACAGGATGGTCGAAGGGCTTTTTTCAGTGTAATTTATACAAGGAGATGAGAGATTTTTTTTCCCTCTGTGACTCGTATTTGATTGTTTTAGTGAGTCGATGACCTGACAGATGAGAAAATCGCTCCGTTATTACAAACTGCCTGGAATACTTTTAGGCTGAAAAGGCCGGTTCTCTCTCCCTATGCTTTTTCTTGTCTTCCTGTCCAGGGGGCTAATTATAGCCCAGATTACTGAATGTGAGAGCTCTCTGCAGGAGGTGTGTATGTGTAGGTGTGGACATTGATGACTCATCCCCTTGCAGGGGCCACACTGAGATCAGAATCCAAAATGGCTCCTTGACTGGCAAACAAGAAACAGTTCTGACAGCAGCAACAACAACAAACCACACGTGACGCAGAGTGCCATCACTCTCAGGACAAACTGAGTGTATGGAACATCTCAACTAAGGGTTTTATGGTTTTGTAGGGGAAGAGCAGGCTCTGCTGGTTGGTCTCAATCATGTGTTTTCTCTCAGTCTGTCATTTTCCCTTTTTGTTGATTGTGGATTGTCTTCCTCTTTTAGTTTTGCTGCACATCAGACAAAGAAAATATATCAGTCTTCTACCATGGCTGTACATGGAGGTGCACAGCTATGCACGATCTAAACACATCAATAAAGGTTGAAGTAAGTGAATGGTGGAAACAGTTTTGCACAGAGCAAAACAAATGATTACAAATCAAAAAACATGACCACCAAAAAGAGATATGGCACTGTAAACAGCTGTTCTACCATAGTTATCGCAAAAAAGAAATTACAGTACAGTAAAGTAACAAAAAAAAGGATTCGGACCGGACCGGTCAGCGTCCTATGAGGAACTACAGCATGAGCTACGAGTGTGGTTTAACGCTCGATGTGTGTGAGAAGGGACTGCTTGAAAAATCAGTTGAGTTTTTTGAAAGTGCCTGCCCCTTTTCTAAACCGTTTCCAACTACAACCAGATGGTTCTGTGTAACAAATCACCTGCCGCAAAAAGAAACTGTGAAATAAAAGTTAAATAACAACAAGAGCCTGACAAGTTATCTACCTCAGAATGTTGTATCAGCAACAAATTAACCTCAAGCACTAGACTGATTTCATATTTCAAATTACAAACATAAGTAACAAAACAGGTAATGATCAAATAATGACAGTGAGAGGGAGGACAATAGATGCTTGTCATACATGCTGCCAGTGGCTTGACATTCAGAATCTGCAGATTAGAATTTCAGAAAAGTCTGATTGGTAATCCACGTTAAAAGCAAGACGTGAGCTAACGTTAGTGCTACTGAAACGTTGATTTTTGTTTAATTCACGCTGACTGTGACCTCTGTTTGAGTGTCTTTGTCGTCAGAGCCAGTTGTCTGTCTGTCAGCAGCAGCTCCTGAGGGAACCTCCTGAAAGGACAGTGGTCGGTCAAAGTGTCTTTACCAGGCAGACTACTGTTAAAAATGTACTGGATAAAAATAGTTTTAAAGGAGGCTGCTTGAAGATTGTACAGGAAGAAAACTGAATAGTTTTTCTTGATGGATTTGTTTTCCCGCTCATCGTAGCACTGAAACTGCAAAGCTCACACTGAAACTGGGAACCTTGATCAATCATTACAGATAGAGGAGGTAGAGGAAGATTTGAGTGATTTAAACTGTTTGTGGAGATTAAACTTCACCAGTGTGCACCAGTTGAAAAACAAAATAGACTAGACGTGTTAAAGTGCCCCCTGGGCTGCCCTTCCAGTGGGGAAAACATGATGCAGTGCTACGCTATATGCTGTGCCTTTTAAATGGTTAAATAATTCCCTGTGTTTTTATTTCAGTGGTGGTAGTCACATGATAAAACAAGTTTAATCTTAAAGGACCTGTGTGTAGGATTTAGAGGCATCTAGTGGAGAAGTTGCTTATTGCAACCATTTTAATACAGCTCAGCCTTCCTAGCGTGTAGGAGAAACTACGGTGGCCACAAAACTTGTGAAAAACAGCACCATCTAGAGCCAGTGTTTGTCTGTTATGGGCTACCGTAGAAACATGGAGGTTCAACATGGCGGCCTCCACGGAAGAAGACCCATTTCCTCTGTAGTTAAAAATGGCTAATTCTAAAGTAACGAAAACACAACAATTCTTATGTTCAGGTGATTAATGAAAACATAAATATTATATTAATTTCTACCAACAGATCCTCCTAAGTGTCCTAAATAGACCAAAAATATGATAATGATAGTAGAGAACACCGAAGTAAAGCCAGCAGGTGGATGATGGAAACACTCGGCTGAATCTCCGGGATCACCCTGAAGGTCATAGTGGTGATGATGATGATGAGAGAGGTGATGGGTGTCACAATAGTCTGAAAGATAAAATGACATAATGAAAATTTAAAGAGCAGCATCCAGTAACCCACTGGCTCAGGGAATGCAGGCAGAAGGATGATCGGCCAGTTAAAGGGCTTGGCACTTCTGACAGCTTTGGAAAGCAGAAGTGACAGAGAAGAAGAAGGCAGGAAGAATGAGAGAGAAAGGCTCTTCCTTGTTGACTTTGGAAGCTTCATTTAGAGTTTGTAAACTGGGGTTGTGGTGGAATCTGCTTACAGCTGGTGGGTTTTCAAAGATTTTCTGTCTTACGTTCACTTGTATTGTTATTAAGTGGGTTGTTTTGTGCCTGTTCCTGGCTCGTGGTGACAAGCTTCTTTAACAATGTCTGGATTGTAGCCCTCCTGCACTTCTGCAAGATCTAGTTGTTTATACCTTATCATTGTTGGGAACTTGTTTCCTGTCCCTACTTGATTGTTGGAGCTTGAAAAACAACACATAATGTCCGAGAGGAGCTTCAAATGTAATACAGGGAAGATTTAGATAATAATTTGTGCCAGTCGGTAACTGGATAAATCATGTCTTAAACAAAGTTGACCCATGGTGTTGGACAATATACAAGTATATGTTCTCAGAAGCTGTTGAAAATTATGCTGAAAGCAAATCCCAGAATACTCGCACTGTTTGTTTCATTAGCATTTAATCCACACCAGATGGAGGAGCTTGTAGTCAAAGAATCAAAAGCCACAGCAAATTACATCACAGTGTTTATTCTTTAGTTTCTGCTATTTCCATTCAGGTTTTTAACATCCACTCTTAAGCAGCACATAGATGGTTCAGTCTTGTGGCTCTCATTGACCTTACTGCATAAAAGTAAAGGGACCTGTTTTTGGCAAATAAGTTCTGATAAACCCACAGTTTGCTCCCAGTTCAGCCCCAGATGGCAGACAGACAGTTAGCCACTAGCTATTGAAGAAAATGGATCACCTACAGCTAAAGAGTCTGAATTTTTCTTTAGGAGCTGGTGGAGACCAAACCAGAGCTAAAGGACAGTGAACATGGGCGATGGATTAATCAGGTGGACACAAACACAACTCCAATGGGATGTTAACCATGCTTTGGGCTACAAATCTAATGTAAATAGACCACCAGCTGTTGTGTGGCCAGTGCGTGGGTCTCTGTGTTTCTGTGAATTTTCTTTTTCTCTTCTTAGTTTGTCTTGCAAATTCAAGATTTGCATGAAAACATCGTTACTCAAATTGTTTGGAGATGAAAAAAAACAGAGGTGAGGACCAGTGAATGTCAGACAGGCAGACGTTCTTTCTGCTTCTCTGTCACATATCAGTTGTCACCACAGACCTTAGGGACATGGCTTTATCTTTCCTTTCTATTTAAAAGTGCACAGTGTTGAATGGCAGCCTGGACTGTTTAAAAATGTACGAGGAGGCGGTACAGCTGCGGAACATCAGGGGGGGTTTTGGGGAGCCCTCACTGTATGTACACTCACAAAGTGGTGACCTCATCAGTGAGCTCACCATCCCAGGGGAGTTTTAGGATGCATCTTGTCTCATCAATAATGGAAGG